CTCTGAATGGTTATCAGAGGGAGGGCTCGAGGCAGGACTTCAAGCACACGCGGAGGATAGCGTATGCAGAGTAGGTAACTCAAAGGGTCCTAGGTACTGTTGTGGGGGATACTTCCCCAAATCATAATAGTAATTCCTAATATAGAAACCCTACATTCTACTATATAGGTACTTTGGACCCTTTGGGTAAGTAGATAATCAGGTACGTGTGCCTTGATGTGGGTTCCAAAGTAGATACATGTGGGTGGCTGTCGAAATTGTGGTCCTTTTTGGGTACCCTAAATAATGGGTGCCGTGTTATAATAAGAACTCCAAAAGGGACCCTCATCTTGACAACCACCCATGTGTCACTAGATTGTTTGGACCTTCAGCCAGGCCATCCGCATGTGCCAAGCGAGTTTGACCATCTGGACTTCAGCATGGAGGCACAGGTGAAGGCGAACATCAGCACCATTCACAAGATTGGCAGATCTGTGGCAGACTACTCTGACGAGTTGCCGTTCGGCGTGGCTTGCCTTGTGATTGCAACGTCCCAGCATGAATGTAACGTAGGGGTCTTACTACGGCCGTAGACTAAGGTTTTGGGGCATAAACTCCCTTTGGGACGGCAAGAGCATGTAACTAACTACCACGTATTCGGACCTCGAGCATGCATGCTCGGATCGGAGAGTTGAGCATTTCTGAGCCAGGTGGCGTCCATGGAGTGGCTGCGGTCTCCGCAGATACTTCATTGGGTTTCGGGCAATGCGGGTGGCTTCGAAGCGAACCGTCGTGTGGTGGAAGAGTTTGGTCCAGCAGTCTCGAGAGACCATGGCATGGACAAGCATGAGACGCTGGGCGTGGTAGAGGCTCCTTGTGCCAGTTTCGCAGCATGTGCGCTGTAGTTGGTGCGGTTATGTACAAGCGCATGACGTGCAATTGAGCTTATGCATACATACGTACATACAGGCGCATATTTTCGGATTCCCCAAGCGACATCTGACACTTCTTTCGAGGTTGGCGACAATGTGAGTGATCGCCGCTTTCTTTTGGAGACCTTCGCCATGTTTTCCCTTGAAGGCATCAGTCGAGGTGATATGCCCGCCCGGAGTTTGCGCATCGATCCTCGGTACTGATTTGGGAGCTGTCTCTGACTTTCAAGGTTTAAGGTTTTCTGGGAAACCTTAACTATAAATGGCTTCGGTGGCTGTTGAAATTGAAGCCTACCAGAGGGGGTAAACACTTTATAGTGCTAGTCCACAAGGTTCCCAATAGAGTTCCACTCGATTATGATAGTATATAAGAACTATAGTCATAGTATAACAAAGTAGAACATAGTCCAACGGATCATACTCTAATCTATTCTAAATTATCCCGATATGACTAATTACAAAGTATTCGGTACCATACGGTACCCCAAGACCCTATTCTAAGGATATCAAAGAGGAGTTTGACCCCAAGTTTTTCATGCCCTATGTACCAGGCCATTACCCGCAACCTTCTGTGGTGTGGAACGGCTTCGGGGTTTATTGATTTTAATTAACAGCACTGGTTTTTAAAACAAGTTTAGGTTATAGATAGTGAATAGGGTTTGGCGTATGCAACAGAACGTGGTCTTTACATCTGATATGACTACGGTTGGGAGCATATTATAGGACTTTAGATGGTTTGACAATTTCGAGTTTTTAAGAGCTAGAATATGAACAGGGTGTAGGGTATACTGTACTGAACCCTAGACCTTCCGGGCTTGAAAGGCTAGAACGGGAGTTCGCGGTGCAGTGACACGTCCACGGACGGTGTAAAACATGAGTTTTGCATTTGGAGGTTTTGGGATTGTATGGGGTTTGGGCAGACGAGTGCAGCCATGATGGAGGTACAATTTCCAGCCAAAAAACAATGATCTCTGCTTTCGCTGCAAAGGGGCATAAAATGGGTTGTGCATGGTCCTGCCATCACCACCAAATTCTTAGCATACTAGACCGGTTGCCCGAGATATCCGGTGTGCGGAGACTCGAAATGAACAAGTTGCCTCACCCAGAGCTAGGGCACCGGTTCCCAAAGAAGATTGCCATACGGGGGATCCTTGAAGGCTTAGGACCCCTACCTTTGTAAATCCAATCCTTGTCAGCCCTCAACTCCCTTAAGCCCCCGCCCCCCTTTAACCCCCCCCTTAAGCCCCCCTTTAAGCCCCCCTGAGCAGGCTACTTGGTGTATGGGCAAGCCGATCTGGCGATTTTCTCAATCAAGGCCGCGCCCGAGGAAAGCTGCTCCAAGGTTCCGAATGACGGGGCCCAGCAGGTCAGCATCTGGGTCCTTAGTCAGGATCTGTGGGTAATCTTCCAAAGTGGGTCCCTGTCTGGGTCTCCGAAATAGGACGGCACCTGAGAAAGTTACCCTTGGTATCTTCAGTTTAGTGACAGTTTAGTGGTGCCCTTCAGTTCAGACAACTAGACAGAGCGATACAGACACATGAGACATAGAGAGCCAGAGAGATAGGCAGATAGATAGCTGGCTAGCAGGCTAGGTAGGTAGAGAGATAGATAGATAGATGGCTGGCTGGGGGTGGGGGGTGGGTGGGTGGTGGGTGGGGATGGGGGTGGGGATGGGGGTGGGGCGGGGTGGGTGGGTAGGGGGCAGGTAGGGTAGGGCAGGGTGGGGTAGTAGGGTAGGGTAGGTTAGTGGTAGGGGATGGATGTGGATGGATGGATGGATGGACGGATCGACAGGTAGATAGGTAGATATGCAGGTAGGTAGGTAGGTAGATACATGTGCGTGTATATATATATATGTATATATATATATATATATATAGATACGTGATCCGTATGCTTCTCCTCTAAACATAGGATCTTCACCAGAAGCTTCCTCATTAGCAGGAAAGAGCCCAGGCATGCTCTGCGACGAACTATTGCAAGTACTCGAACGCCTTGGAAGCAGCTTCGATGATGTGATTGTTGGCTGGGCTCGAGTGCCGTTCCTGAACGAATCTGTGCTGCATTTGTATCAGTGGTGGTCGTGAGAATTCCGCTCAAGATGTGGTTTTTCTTCGCCCCTGGCTTTGGCACCCCAGAATGTCATACGGACCCTTACGGGGTAGGGTACTATACTTCCTTAAATAGGCCTTATTTCGTCCTTGTTATAGGCATTCAGGCCCCCTACCCCCCGATCCCCCCTACCCCCTTTAAGGGTCCCTATGACTTTCCAGGAAGACGAAGAAGCTGTGTTGATGACCCGTTCCAGAAAGGGCCTCACCCGACCTCTCGCAGAATCGGTCTTGGGCCTTGCATCTTCCGACCAGCTGCAAGGTAGGGCTTTGGGACATTTTGTTTTCCCTTATTGGGCTTAAGAGGATCTTATTTACTAATATTTTCGAAGGCTTTAAAAGCCCCACCTAGGCTGGGGAATGCAAGTGAGGGGGTGCCCTGGCGTCTGGAATATGTCATCGTGGCGCAGATTCCCCACACTGGCTAGATCTGGGCGATGATTCGTAGACACGGGGGAGAACGAAGCAGAGCGAGGAGGGCGTGCTGTTCTACTGTGCAGGCTGATTCGTCTTCCCTCGCAACATGAAGAGCCAAAGCTATATGCTTGCAACCTCTGCAGTTCCACCCTGCCATGCGAGTCCTTGATTTGGCAATGCCGGCGGCAAGCTTTGAAAGTTCCGTGGCTTGTGCTTGTGCTGAGCGGGGACAGAGTTTCTTGTGCCTGCTGGTGCAAATCATACTTTGGGGGTGTGCACTGCCTGCATGCTGCAGAAATGTTGGCACAATATCATGACGATGTGCGTTCTGCGAAAGTAGTTCAACCACACAGGCACAATTAATCCATTACTGCTGCAACATGCAGCGCTGCAGGGTAGGTCCGTCATTGACCCTGTCGCAGGGTGTCATTATGTGGAAAGGGGGCGCCGGGAATCGCAATCGCTTCCGGGCCTTTTGGCTCTCAACACGCACCCACTTGGCTCCCTCAAAGACTCAAGCTTGATTTTCTGGCTAACAGTAAGGGTGAGGCCCAGTGCCTCCAAGATCGCATCAACCTTCGTCGGGCCTTGCACCCGAAACCTTAACCTGGTGCCCTCCACCTTGGCTTGGAACTCCTCAATAATAGACTACGACGACGACTACTACTGCTACTACTGTGACCAGAAGTAGTATCGGCGGTCCGTACATTCACACCAGACCTGGCATGGGTGGTTGCAAACGGGTTGTGGAAGCATTTGTTTGCATGCAGTTTGACAAGTTGGATGATTGAAATCTAGTCAACAAGTGAATTGGGTTTGGTGATAACACTCAGAGGTTGTCGCTATCCAGATGACGTCACCGAATACTCTGGTCATGTGTTTGCAGCTCGACACAAGACAGTTAAGCCCGGTTATGTGCACGACGGTGCGAAGCTTACAGGCAGCATGACAAAGATTTTAAACATGGGCTTCTGTGCTAAACTCGAGCACACTCTTCCTGCAGTGGATTTCATGTCAAGGCAAACCTTTCGACGCGCCAGGTAGCTTGTCAATATAAAGGCTATACTATTTTGGGAGTTCCTTATTATGATTGTAGTATAATGGGCCCCAAAACCCTATTCTAATTATTAAGGCCCCTATGTTTTTGTACCCTTATAGTATTCCTCATAGTACCCCTTTCAAAAGGAACCCAATTTTCAGTTATGAAGGCCCCCTTTATTAGGGCTTCGGAAGCAATTTCTGCCAATCCCGGAGTCTTCGCATGGAGCTCCGGCAGTGATATGCGAGATGCGAGGAGCCTGCTTCGCCAAGGCATGGACTTTGTGGGGTTTTGGGTTTAGGGTTTATAGGGCTTTAGGGGGATTCAGGGCTTGGTGCATGTCAGTCCCTGCTCAACAAAAAGGGGGGTTCAGGGCTGCTAGCTTTCAAAATTCCGATGACTCTTTGCCGCTTCTGTGCTCTCTTCTTTGCGGCAAGTTTGCAGTGCCCGTTCGCAGCCATCTGGCCAGAGCTCAGCCAATCCTGGCCATTATCTTTTTAGCTTCTAGCTCGCAATACTGCGATGCAGAAGATGTGGTGCCCACGATCCTGCTGGGCCATCTGGCGTTGAGCTCAGATTCGAGTGTCGCGTTGGGCAGCCAAGCACTCGACTAAAGCTTCGCACCTGGACTGTCAGGGCATTGCTGCCCCTCACTGCTACAATGAAGCTGATGCAGGCACGGCTGTCATGGAGGGGCATGTGCGCCCAGATTTGCTGCAAGGTACTTCCGTGCTGTTGCCCCCTGCTACGCCACTGACCCTATCCAATGCAGGAGTTGAACACTTCTGCAATGACGGTGGCTTCGCGCGACTCATGGCCTTTTTCCGCCATTGGGGACTTTGTGTCGGATGCTGTAGGCGAAGTTGGCGACACCGTCGCCATGATTGCCAATGCAGGCAGCTAGGTCGCATAGTGTAGTCAGAGAAGTCTTGATGAGTTCTTGTGCATCCGAGCCATGTTTTGTACGTCCCGAGATCAATTCAGGCTTGAATGTCGGCACAGTTACGGCCAACGCCGCCCTAGTGGTCGGGACTCAGTTCGTGACCTCGCCGCCCCTGAGCTGGGACGAGCTGACAGACCTCCACAGCTTAGTGGACGACACCATTAAAAAAACCGCCATGCAGGCCGGACCATTGCATTCACCATTTCTGCGAAATCCGCTTGTGCGAGCAACAGCGGGTCGCCTGCGTGGGGTCATGCTGGAGCATGCGAAGAAGACCGCCGCTGAGGGTCGCAAACTGGCCGGGGCAACGGGACATCACCTGGCCCAACGTGCCCAGGAATCTGGGCTCAAGTTACGGGATTTAGTTTGAGTTACTTGAATTATAGTTCTCTAATTGCCCTAGGCCCCTATTACATGGTAAATTAAAATTACGTCCTTCAACAAGAGCCCAGGAATTGGGAGTGCAGGCTGACCAACTTGGGCCTCTAGCCATGGCAATTGGGCTCGGCCCATTTTGGGACAGGCTGAAGGACACCATCAACTGCCTGGCCAACCAGAACCTCCCCACTCTTTGCGAGATTCTCATTGGCCACGAGTGCGATTGCCGTGCTGGCAGTTATGTCCATCTCGACGAAGGTGGCCACCCAGACTGGGTGGACATGAGGTGGGTGGCTGTCAAAATTATGGTCCCTTTTTGGGTCCCGAATATAATACGGCACCTAGTATATTCAGAGTGCCCACAAAGGGACCCGTAATTTTTGACAACCACCCAGGTGTATCTACACGAGAGTTTCGAAATTTACGGGTGGCTTCGGGATCCAGGCATCTGTAGACAGCGATGGGGAGACCGACTCTGGGGTGCTTCCGGGGACTGAGACGCAACGGGACACCATCGAGAGCTTCCAAGAAATGGTGGGTCAAGTCAAGACCTCCTTGGATGGGCTCGGCGAGACTTGGCTTTTGAGCCTTTTGAGAGTTTTCTTGGAGTCGTTTCTGAGCCTTGAGTCGTTGAGAGGGCTTCTAAAGAGCAGCGCGGCTGAGGCGATGCAAAAGAGCTCGCCCTCGGCGTCATGCGAATCGGGTCTTGACGTGGCCATCGATGGAATCTCGAAGTTTACCCCTGACCTGCAAACGAAAGCATGGTCGAACGGACACACCGAATTCAATGTCAGTGGCACACTGCTCGTATCCTACGAGACGATGGTCTCCGGGGAGGGTAGCTGCAGCTACAAGCTCACGAAGGGTTTGCCGAAGAAACCAATAACAAAGGTGATCTGTGCCGGACCTTTCTGCATCTCGGCTAAGATGGCCGATTTTTGATTTTTACGGGCTCCCGCGAGAAGCTGCAGCATGTCTCTGTCAGACCTCGGACCAGGTTCTGGGTCTAGCCAAGTCCAGCCCTAGAGAACAAAAAGCGCTATGGGCATGAGTCGAGTTTTGGAGGGGAGGCACTTTGATAAAAGTTCACTCCAAACTCTGGCTCTTACAGACAAGTATAAACCTTAGTTCCTCAATCTGCCCTCATGCTGTCCCAGGCGTCATGATATCGCTGCAGATGGTTGCAACTTTGGTCGGAGAGGGTGTCCTTACCGGAACGATCCACATGCGAAACGATGCGGAATTCTCAGTCCATGCCTACGGATGGGTCAAGGAAGATGGCTCTTACAGCGTTCATGTTAGAAATCCCGGCACTTTCAGGCACCAGGAGCGGACGTCTTAGGCATGCACCATGTCAATGCTCAGCTTCTACACCCCTGATAATCTATAACCCTAGTCACAGCCCTATTGCAGGAGAATGTTCGGATGGGGGCGAGCGCAGCGGCATCCCTAAAGCTAAGTGTGGGGCCAGAACTCGTCGCGACTCGGCTGGCAGAGCTAGTGTCGTCTAAGGGGCCTGTCATGTGTACTGGCTGCAAAGCGAGAAAACGAGGTTTGGCCTATGCCTGGCATTCCGCTGACTTTCCATCCGACGCTCAATGCTGAAGCCAGAGCACAGGCCCATACCATCCAGTACCCCCCAAGTACCATCAAGAACGAGGGAGGCCGCCGGCGCAGACATGCGGTCGATATATGTGGCGCAGCCGCCTGGAGCCCAGCTTGCACCATCTAGGCCCCTCTTGCCGCATTTGCTTTGAAAGAGCTGAGCCGTGTAAGCACTGCGGTTTCCAGCAAAGGCCGTGAGCGTCTACTCCGATTTTGGCATCGAAGGCTTCGGGCTACCAAAGGTGATAAGGGAGCTCTTGAGCAATGGCTTCTTCGAGGAGCAGCTCAAGGATGCCATGGAAAAGGGTGTGGAGGCATGGATATTAGCGATGTCAGGGATAGCAATGCACGGCGGGACGGATTGCCTTGGTGACTTAGAAGCCGAGCTGCGGGCGAAGATGACAAACATCCTCGGGGACCTGATTCCCGACTTGTCCCTGCGGTTCAACGTCCCTTCGTTTCAGCTGCTACCGCCTCAGATGCTCTTCTGCAAGGTGGTCTGGAAAGAGCCAGACAACTTCGACCAGCTCCCCTGCGCAGAAGAGCTTGGGTGTCAGGCCGTCGGTCAGGGACCACCAACATCGGACGCTGTGGCTGTGCCACCGGAGCAAGTAGAAACTCCGCCGAGAACGGCTGAGAATGCGGTGCCATGTGCCGATCCTCTACAAGTAGGAGATCGTTTTATCCAGATTGGCAAGTTTCGCATTGCCGCCATCAGTGACAAGTATCTTTCAATCTCGCATCAGGACATGGACTCCTTGCCAAGTAGCCCGGTAGGTGGGGATTCCGACATTTCAGTCTCGGGTCGCGCTGCCTCTGCTCTGGCCTCGCATGAAGTGATTATCTGAGCACTGTCAGGACGGTCAAGCTGTGTCGCTCGTCGTCTCCGACGAGAGGGCGTGCGTTCGAAGCGAGTTTGGTCACATCCCTGCGGGTGATCGGCAGGAGGTCACCAATGAAGCCTGGCGCATCTGGCAGAGGAGCGCAGCTCAGGGTTGAAAGATTGAGCCGCCGTTTAGGCCCCATGAGGCCTAGGGTAGCCGATGTTCCCTGTTGCTCTTAGCGGCCCCTGGTCTCTGTGGGATTTACATTGTGAGGCCTCTGGGGGAAGCCAAAGAAATCGAGTTTGGCTTCAAGTTCATCCAGATTGGAAAGTTCCGCCTCGGCGACTACGAAGGGTGGCACTTCTCAATTTCGTGCCCTTGGCTGCATGTTGCCTCTACGTGCTGGCCCTGAACAGCCCAATGCCTAAGCTGCGAGGAAGGAAAGAATGTAAGACTGCTCGCAACGGCATGGGCAGCCGAAAGCGTGCTTGTGGGTGCATGTCAACACGAGGGGACCGCTTTCGACTGGCCGTCCAAGGAGCCCACCGAAAGGCTAGCATCATGAGTCATGAGATGTCAGGAGCATCATGTGCGCGTGGGGCTGGCGTCTCAAATATATCCAGGGAACGAAGCTGGCCAATAATTCTCTTGCGGTCTCATAGAGACGTTGGCGATGTCGCCCAGACCCTGGCCTCGTCGAATATGGGGGCCGAATTAATTACCAATATTGTGGTGGGGGTTCCTTCTTATAAATATTATATATATATATATATAGATAGATAGATAGATAGATAGTATAATGGGCCCCAAAACTATTCTAATTAATCCAGGCCCCTATATTAGACTGGCACCGCGCCAGTGCACGAGTCATCGCAGCTTGCGGAACGTCACTGGGAGGGCCAACGAAACCGGAGGCATTGCGAGCATTCTTCGGCGCCGGGGGCGAGGTAGCATGGGAAAACCGTCAGGAGCCAGGGAAGACGGAACCCAGGCCTCGATGCAAACCATATCAGCGAAGAATAGGGCGCGCACGGATCAGTCGGGCTTGGGCTTCGGCTTGAGGGGTGTCCGTTCTTTTTTGTGGCCTTTGTTCCTCTCAGCGGAGGCATCTCGTGACGAAGAGGACCTGCCTGCTCTGGAAGCACGATGGGGGGAGATGGGGAGATAGGCACCAGACTGACTCTTGCCAGTTTCAATACCAGACTAGACTAATTCAGCTCTAAACAGACCCGAAGCCTGCAGTTCATTTCCTCAGCGCACTTAGGGCCACAACGTCCTCGACCGTTTCTTGGGGGCTCCGTCGGGCATCAGCATCGGCAAGAAGTTCCCAGACTTGTCAATAATTGTCATGACTTACCAGGTTCACGGTCATGGCCGATAAGTAAGCCTTTAAGATGTCACTCTGTGGAGTTCTGAGAATGCCCGCAGAGTTTGGCATGTCTTGTCGGAGAAGCATTTCGGACTTCGGCCAGGTTCGTGCAGATTGGCAACTTCCGACTTGCGGAGACTGACGACTCCCAGGGGCTACCCTTGCAATTCATGCGCTATTACGACAATGGACATTGGGAGCGGCGCACGCTTGAAACCTTCCAGAGGGATGGTGGACATTCGCTGCACAACACCGACGATTGGAAGATACGTAATATAAACAATCGTGAGGTGTTTGGGCAGGGATGCAAGACCATCGGTGAGATTGCTCATGGAGAGTGCACAAGCAGTTTCGCAACCTGGGGTGATCGTTTCATCCAGCTCGGCAATTGGCGCCTTGCGGCTCTGGATGCGGACCACTTCAGCATTTCCCACAAGGGCGGCCAGAACGCAATTTACAAGAGCAACGGCCACTTTTACTGGGAACGCGTGAGCGACCGTGCGTGGCGCAGGAGCCCAGCTAACTTTCCGGAGACCTCAGTAATCCAATTAGTGTCGAAGTGTCGGAGCCTGGTAAGATCGCTATAGGCCACTGCTGTGCTCGCAGGCCTCTCGGCTTCCCCCACGGCATCGTCTTTGGGGCGAAGTTCATCCAGATCGGTCAATTCCGCCTGGCCGCACTGGACGACGACCACTTGAGCATCTCTCACCAGAATCTTGGCTTTGGAGTACCATACTTTAATACGTTTTTTCTTAAAGGACCCAGTATGATGTAAAAGTCTATACTTTTTTCTCCCTGGTTACTTAGTACTTAAAACCCCAGGAATGGCTGGACCAACCGGCTCTTCGTGGGCCACAACGGTCACGTCGTCGATCGGCCGGGCGGGGGCCATCACTGGAACGCCTGGAGGCACCTCGCCGGTGGTGACGAGAGTTTCCAGAAAGGCTTAAGTGCCGGCATCTCCGGCGTGGGCTATGGGGACAGATTTTTGCAAATCGGCCCCTTCCGCATCGGGGTGGGGGAGTATGATGATTTGCTCATCACTCACAAGCACCCGGCCACTGGATACCCACGAACTTTCCAAGCATCTGGTTACGCATTCGGTGCCTTTCTTGTTGGAATGTCCCCAAACCCTCAACCCCAAAGGGTCCTATGTACTGTTATTGGGGATACTTCCCTAAGTCATAATAGTAATTCCTAATATGGAAACCCTACATTCTACTATATCGGTACATAGGACCCTTTGGGAACCTCAAGCATGCCCACGACACCGCCTGCCCGGGTGACCAAGGTGTACCAAAGCAGCGGAACGGTCCTCGGGGCGCAACCGGAGGCATCGCACTCCAACAATAACCATGTGCACCTGGTCCATCGTCATACGCAGTGGCACTGTGGCAACATCCAGAAGCTTGGGTGCTGTTGAGAAGACATGCTGCGGGTTCTGTGGCGGTTCATTAAGTGCGTCGAAGCATCATTCATCGGTTCACGTTGAGTTCCCTGGTAGCGGTCATGTAACGACTGCTGCCCACATCCAACCTCAAAACCAAATCATGACTGAATTAATGATATCCAGGATATCCAAGTCAAAGCTGAGTCACAGCCAAAGCGAAGCTGAGTCAGAGTTGATTCCCTGCCAAAGCACAGCAACGTCCCACAGTCCAAACCGTTTCATTATAAGGCATAAGGGGACGCGCCGAAGCCCTAAACTTTAAACCCATTGAAAAACGGCATAAACGGTTGCCCCGTCCCCATGGGTGCCAATAGTCTCTCTGCGCTGGGACTTCGACCAAGGAGCATGTTCGGCTCCTGCCCTGGAATCACCGCAGGTGGGGTTGGCAACAAAAACTTTTTTTGCAGGTTCTCATGGTAGAAGCCCAATATGGAATCTTTAGGGAGCCTACAAAAAAAGAGTGCCAGTTCAAGAGAAGGATTTTAGGGAGTCCCACCTGCACTCACTTTTCGACCACGCACAGTTCTGCAGGCGACGGCTTCATACAGTTGGGGGATTGGCGGCTCGCAGCGATTGACTCGCGACAGTTCTCGATCTCCCACCGAGATTTGGTGACGCCCATGAGCCTTAGGGTCTTGAGTGCAGGATGTTTTTGGATTAGGAAAGCGGCAGTGCAGTGGGAAGTAGGGAGGGCTTTCCTGTAATATAGAGTCTTTAATAAATCCCTACACTATTGAGGGCGGTTCCTTGTTCTAATTAAAGTACAATGGGCCCCAAAACCCCATTTCTAATTGTTAAGGCCCCTATACCACAGTACTTTATAGATCCCTCATAGTATCCCTTAAAGGAACCCTTTAAAAGAACCCTAAATTCTTAAGGCCTCTCTATTAAGGCATTCTGAAACTGGGTCCCGAGGAGCTTCACCTCTGATGGGCATTACCACCGTCACGGAGACCCCACCCAGGGAGACCACAGCTGGGACCGCGAAGCCAGGTGGGCAGTTCTATGTAAAAGAAGTGTCGCTGTTGAGGTCCCCAAAAATAGTACGGCACCAGGACCCCAGAAGTGACCATGGTTGAGAGAACTACTCAGGTACGTAGCCGCCGGGGAGATGGGAGAGGTGACGCTCGGCGATCGCTACATCCAGTTCGGCAAGTACTGGCGCATGGGGCAAGTCGATGATGGCCCCCTCTCCATCTCTCACATTGATGGCAGGACTCCGGTGATCTTCTACGAAGATGGAAATGTGAAGTACATCGAGGATCACAGTGGCTTCAACGACGCCCCCTTCACCCTCTGGAACCGCCACTCCGTCGAACCTAAGGGCATCGGTTTTGGTGATGGCTTCGTTCAGATCGGCGACTTTCGTGTTGGAGACGTTGATCATGTGCGCTTGTCCGTCGCTAATGCGAAGACTCGGAAGACGAGCGAGACTTTTAAGAAAGATGGACATACAGCGGACAGTGGCTCGACAGCATGGACAACCCTGGGGCGTGCGCTCCAGCATTGCCAGGTCATCCCCAAAAAGGCTCCGAGCTTCACGTCGCCAGTCGCCTTCTACAACCCGAAACATGGGCGCTGGCTACAGATGTTCCTAAGTTGCAGCCAGGTATTGTAAACGTTTTTTGTCCCACGCAGCCATAGAGGAAGAGTTGAAGAAGGTGTAAGATCTTCGACCGCGCCCAGGAACAGAGGGAGCACCGACATGACTGGCAGCGCTGACCAAAGAGGAGGTGACGGGCCTTTCTCTTTGAGGCTTCACTGGACCTATGAGCGCTTCGCGGTTGTCGACGTCGGCAACGGGGACATCGGACTTCACAACACCTTCAGCAACCGTTTCGTCAAGATGGAAGGGTTGGAGATGATGGTCAGCTCAATCAAGGCGCGCAGCGGAATCACCGAACCCCAACAGCCACCCCGCAACAAAATAGCAGCCCAGGATGTCGACGACTTCCCACCTGGCTGGAATCTCGAGCGCTTTCGTGTCGTCGACGCGGGAGACGGAATGGTGGCGCTCTACCACCCGGTCAACCGCCGCTTCGTCACCATGGATCAGAACGGCCACGTCTATCCAAGTGCCCCCGTGGACGACGGCAAGCTGCCTGCCCATTGGTCTTATGAGCGCTTCTACATGATGCCGGTGAGAAACTTTCTCGAACCGGATACTCTGGTGGCCCTGCACCCTGGGTGCTCTTGAGGTCTTTTTTATTAAATCACGTTCGCGGAATCATCCGAGCCCGGCTCGAAGAGTCTTCTCTGAGGGATCATCCCAGTGAGGTACAGCAATGCACACGGCCGCTTCCTCCGCATGTATGAGCATGCCCCAGGTCACTGCGACTTGGACAGCAGCCCATCCGGGCCCAGCCTCGCGGATACTTGGACATTGGAGCGATTCAGAGTGGTGGATGCGGGCAATGGCATGGTTGCGCTGCACAGCCACCCCTACAACAAGTTCTTGCTGATGGACGGCCACCACTTTGACATTCGTTGCAGTGCCCCGTCGCCGACTGCTACTCGGACATGCACAGACGGATTTCTGCAGATTCTGAAGTGTGTTGCTGGAGTTGCGTACTATAGGGGCCTTAATAATTAGACTAGGGTTTGGACATATATTACAAATAATTATAACAAGGAACCACCAAAATAGTATTAGTAAGTATATAAGGCCCCTGCCTCGCGGTCCCGGCAGGACAGCAGCGAACTCCCCTATGGTTGGGGCTGGGAGGCGTTTGTCCCTGTTCCCATGGCCTTCCATGCAGACCATCTCGAGATCGCCTTGTGGCATCCTGCTCACCACCGCTTCTTGTCCCAGTCCAGCCGCAGAAGCTAATACTGTTGATGATATACATCCTGCATTACCCGTAATAAGGAATATGCCATAATTCCCATAGTTTAGGGTCCTTAAGGCAATGCAGGATTCATATCATCCACCGTAGTTGGCTTCAGTTCTGAATCTCAAAGCCGGTCGTCCCCTTTGACCCCACTGGGAGGATCATGGGACTTAGTAAGTAAGGTTATAAGTACCCTAACTGGGGTTATAAGTATAGTTACCCTAATTATAACCCTAGTTACTAAGTCCCATGATCCTTTAAGCAAAGCCTGCGAGGAGCCGTCCGAATGAATCACCACATCGTCGATGCGAGTCATCCCGTAGCCCTCCAGGACCTATGGCTAAGGGTTTAGGGGTTTAGGGTTTAGGGGTTGGGGGTTTAGGGGTTTAGGGTTTAGGGGTTTAGACGTAGTCCAGGTGTAAAAGGGGTTTAGAGGTTTAGGGGTTTAGGGTTTAGGGGTTTAGGGTAGCGGGGGACAGAGGGGCTCTTTGCTGTAACCGGGCTGCTGGACAACGAGGCCTGCTGCAAAAAGAGGTTTAGGGTTTAGGGTTCAGGACCGGACTGAGGGTACAGGAGCCGTGAGGATGTGGTTTTCAATCGTCTTTCCCCTGAACCATTACTGTAAATCCCTTAACCCCAAAACGTCCTAAACCTGAAATCTTAAAGTACTGCACAATCTAACCCTCATATCCAGAGGTGTCCAAAGTACCTATATAGTAGAATGTAGGGTTTCTATATCAGGAATTACTACTATGATTGGGGGAAGTATCTCTCGTAATAGTACCCCAGTAGATCCCGTAAAGAGTTCCCCCTATGGATCCCTTAAACTTATATAAACCCTTAAAATATCCTAAGCCCTAAACCCGAACCCTAAATGCCAAACCCTAAACCCTAACAGGACAGGACCTAGGACCCTTTGGGGTATGCCCGGACACGCCCAGGACCTGGCAATGAACGCGGCCTTTGGCTGGGAGAAGTTTCGGGTCGTCCTGCTGGCAGACCCCATGACCTAGATGATGGTTCTTACTAGCATGATTCTTATTATTTTTCTTCAAGTAGTGTTAGTATTACTAGTGTTATTGTAGTTGTCACTGTTATTGTTATTATTGATCTTGAAGTTGTTATTGTTGTTGTTGGTACAGAAAAAACAGCAGCCCGTAATTGTTGTGAATAAGACGCAAGCTTCCGGAGACCGCAGAAGGTGCCTGTAGAGTTTTGGGGTATGCGAGCCATGGTTTACACAGCAATTGGCCCATGATAGAAATGCGGTGTAGGCTGGGTGGTTGTTGTAAGGGGGGGGGGTGTTCAAAAGAACAGACGGGGCACCAGTTTTTGTCTCTGCCACAGTGTAGAGACAAAGTCCTGATTTCAAGGAAATTCTTACAAATCCAAGAAATAACGCAAAATCCTTACGCATACACACCACATCCTTGCAAATACACACAAGCTCCTTGCAAATCCACACCAAACCCGTGCAAATGCACACAAACCCCTTGCAAATGCACACAAAATCCATGAACATAAGCTGAACATACTAAAAAATCCTCTGCAAAACATTCAGACCCTGTACACCATAGGCACTGTGTTGTTGTTGGGGGGTAAAACAACATGACGGGGCTCCTGTCTTTGTCTATACCTAACGCACAGACAAAAAGCAGATATCTGGGCTGACGGGGCTGCAGTTTTTGTTTGTTCCTTGTTCTTGTTCTTGCTATTATTCTTCTTGTTGTTGTTGGTATGCCTACTATTATGACTAACCGACGAAGGCCCAGCAGAGCCGAGGAAGTAGCGGAATCCAGCAAACCAAGAGGAAGCGAGAAGTGCATTAGGGACTCTGTTTTTGAGGATTAGGGTTGAGGGTTTAGGGAGTCTTATATAGTGGGATGCAGGACGCCTTGACCTCCCAGGGCAGCGCTCCGCGAGAGCGAAGTTTACAGCACATCGTAGCCATCGCCAGAAAGTCACCCATCCGTTAGGTACGGCCCCCACTCAGTAATAGTTGAATCATATTCCTTATTCAGATATATTAGGACCTTAATAGTAGCCCAATTACTGTAAGGGGGCCGTACCTAACCCATCCGAGTCCATTTAGGGACATGCGCGAGTGAGATCCAGCCTCGCCATGGTCTGAGCCGCTCGGTAGAAGATAATATAGGGGCCTTAATAATTACACACCTGTACTATTTAATTTGGGGGGTCCTTATTATAGCTCTAGTATATTATAAGTAGTATACGACAGAACCCTATTCCACTTATTAACGCCCCTATATTATGACCATGGTTTTCGTGCCAGGGCTGCGGGAAAAATGCCGAGGGCCACGACATCTCGGGTCGTCAAGACCTGTCTTTCTGCTTCAGACTCCGGGGCCTATGGGTAGAGACCGGACATGACGGAAGTGTGGCGTCATGGATTGAATACAGGGGCCTCGATGGATAGAATATACTATAAATCCAACAAGGAACCTCCAAAATCCTATTCTACCTATAATCTCCATTGTAGTTCCTGTTTTGGGTTTAACCAAATAGATATTTGGGATCCTATAAGGTAAGGCCGAAAAGGAGCTACAATGGAGACTATAGGTACTTATTACGGCCCTTACATTAGCGCCTGGAACTGGCTTCGGGTCTCTGCTCATCCGGATGTAGGCTGCATTACGATCCTCATCTCCGCCAGGCCCTCTTCTGCCTGGCTTCAAAGGCGACTGGGATGAGGGGCTATGGGGCCTAATTATGGCTTATGGGGTTTGGGATCTAGGTTTAGGTCGCGCTTGCTTGCTTTTTGCTTCATTTAGAGTCTTGGGTGGCAGGGGGCCAACACATAGGGCTGTTTAACATAGGCGTCCTTTCTGGCTCTGCTCTGCGTGGCGGGACCTCAATCCCGTGCGGTCTGGGGCTCGATACTTCTGTCTCACGCGAGCTATGTAGTCGAGCTTTGAGCTGGAGGAGGAGCTCCACATTAAAGCAGTGTAGAGCTCTGCGCTATGTGCCATTAAGCACGTATCGCGGTGACCCCACCTGGGTTTGTATTCAAGCATTGCTCGCAGGGCTTCAGCGGAGGCTCCTTCGGGGCCGGAAGCTTTGCCGTTCTCCAACACTGCTGCCATTTCGTCCAGGGTGAAAGGTGAAAGGGTGTGTTTGCGCAGGATAGGCTGATGCGGTGCAGTGATGACGTGGATGCCGTGCTTGACCTCCCCTGTGTCCAGTTGGTGAAGATGTTGCTGAAATGCCATGTCACGCTGCGGTCTTGTTCTTCATCCAGACTTGATTGTGCCGACAGCAGGGTCAACAGTTTGGAAGATTTTTCAGGCGCAAGACCTAAGTGACCAGGTCTTGCACGTATGGAGCTGGCGATTTTAGGGTGCTTCCACCATATTATGGCAAAAAATCGACATGAACAAATTCACGCGGTGACGACGCATGCTTGTTGTGCAACAGGCTGTGGCAACCAAACACCAGTCTACACTCTTTGTGTCCGAGCCTGACCCCAAGCCCTACCTATAGTCTCCATTGTAGTTCCTTTTTGGGGTTACCTTATAGGATCCCAAATGTATATTCGGTTAAACCAAAAAAGGAACTACAACGGAGATTATAGGTAAACCCATCGTTTGTGGCTTGCTTCTCGGGCTCCCAGAGTTGAAGGATGACGCGTTGGTCGAGGGAGTCAAAACCCGCTACTTGTAGAAAACGCTTACCGCGAGGACCACTAGTTTCTAGTACAAGCTGTGCGCGCAAACCCTATAATTTTTCTGAGTTTCGAAACCCTGGTGGCAACCTGCCCCGAGTGCCAGGGCGGCTGCTGGCCCTACTACAGTGCCTCCTTGGAGCGGAAAGCGCTCGCGGAACCGATCCGGCTGCAAAAGTTGTTCAGGATTCCCCACATCATAATATGTGGGTTTAGGGTATAGGGTGTAATATGTAGTATGTAACATACAAGAATGCAACGTAAACGATGTCGTATATAGTGCAGTTCTTAAAATGTACTTACAAAGTTTGGCCCTTGGCCTTGAGCTACCGTTCCCTCCATGTGTTCATTAGTCATAGATAGATCGATAGACCCTTCTCAACGGCGCCGGCCTCCTGAAAAGTGCACCATTATGATGATTTTTAGGTGCCCACACTTCGGCACCATCACCAGTTGAGCCTGTGGATTCCACAAACGTGCCACCCATGGCCGACCACTTCCTACCCGGTTCCGCACAATTATAGAAGGAAGCTTCCGGCGTGACTTCGGTGAAGCAGCACGTAGTGCAGTGCATGTAATCCAGACATACGTGATTAGCGACTCTGCAGCTTACATTGGCTCACGGCCGTCGACAGCCCTCCTTTCAAACACTCGTCCTTGGCGCACTCCCAGGTGCGTTTCACGCATGCTGTCCATGCTTTCATGTCCAAGTCTTGGCTACTTCTCAAGATGAATTGTCGGTGAATTTGTCCCGAACTTACACGATGCTACATGGGACTTTACGTGACTTTCTCGTAGTTTGAATTTGGTGGTCCTGAGCTCAGAAGATATGGTTCTCACCTCGCGTAGTTTGGGTTCTGTCCGATGTTTTTTTGCTCTTTGCAGATTTGGGCTCCGGGCGAAGCTTGGGGATGTCCCGTCAGAATCATGTCAGGCCGCGTCAAGCCATTTGCAGGGCTGCGCCCGGTGCCGCCGACCCCGCCACCTGGGGCTCGGCGCAGGTAGGCGGCAGTAAGCAGCAGGGCACCCCCCAAGGGGGGCCTGTCGTGCAGCAAGCCTGCTTGGGGAGGGGCGGTGTCGCGCGTGGGGCGGGTGGTCGTGCTGGAGCAGCAATAGAATCAGCAATAGAATAGAAATCAAATAGATATAGTAGAATCGAGTAGCAGAGCCGGGGGAGGGGGGCGGGTGCAGAGCCAAACCTTGGGGGCGGGCGGAGCCAAACCTTGAGAAGAAGAAGAGGTGCCGAAAGGGCGGCGTCGCGCGTGGCAGCGGCGTGGGCGTTCGGGGTGGAGGTGCAGAGCCAGGGCGGGGGGGCGGGTGCAGAGCCAAAGCTTGGGGAGGGGCGGCGTCGCGCGTGGGGCGGGTGGTCGTGCTGGAGCAGCAAAAGAATAGAAATCAAATAGAATCGAGTAGAAAGAGACGAGGGGGGGTGCAGAGCCGGGGGAGGGGGGCGGGTGCAGAGCAAAACCTTGGGGGGGGGAAGAAAGAGAAGGGGGGCGAGTGCAGAGCCAAACCTTGGGGGCAGCGGCGTGGGCGTGTTCGGGTGGGGGTGCAAAGGCAGGGGGGGGGGGGGTGCAGAGCCAAATCCAAAGCTTGGAGGGGCGGTGTCGCGCGTGGGGCGGGTGGTCGTGCTGGAGCAGCAATAGAATAGAAATCAAATAGATAGAGCCGGGGGAGGGGGGTGGGTGCAGAGCCAAACCTTGGGGGGGGGCGGAGCCAAACCTTGAGAAGAAGAAGAGGTGCCGAAAGGGCGGCGGCGCGCGTGGCAGCGGCGTGGGCGTTCCGGGTGGAGGTGCAGAGCCAGGGCGGGGGGGCAGGTGCAGAGCCAAAGCTTGGGGAGGGGCGTCGTGCTGGAGCAGCAAAAGAATAGAAATCAAATAGAATCGAGTAGAAAGAGACGAGAGGGGGTGCAGAGCCGGGAGAGGGGAGCGAGTGCAGAGCCAATTGCGGGCAGCGGCGTGGGCGTGTCCGGGTAAGGGTGCAAAGGCAAGGGGGGGGGTGCAGAGCCAAAGCTTGGGGAGGGGCGGTGTCGCGGGTGGGGCGGGTGGTCGTGCTGGAGCAGCAATAGAATAGAAATCAAACAGATAGGGGAGGGGGGCGGGTGCAGGGCCGGGCCTTTGGGGGGGGGCGGCGGAGCCAAACCTTGAGAGGGAGAGGGGTGGCAACGAGGGAAGGCGTGGGCGTGTCCGGACACGATGGAGGGGGGCTGGGGGTGGGGCATGTTTGGTGGCAGCACCGCAAAGAGCAGCGGCGTGGGCGTGTCCGGGTGGGGGTGCAGAGCCAGCAACGGAAGGGTGCGGGTGCAGAGCCAAAAGCTTGGGGAGGGGCGGCGTCGCACGTAGGGCCGGTGGTCGTGTGGAGCAGCAAAAGAATAGATAGAAATCAAAGAGAATCGAGTAGAAAGACAGGGAGAGGGGTGCAGAGCCGGGGGAGGGGGGCGGGTGCAGAGCCAAACCTTGGGGGGGTGGAAAGAGAGGGAGGCGAGTGCAGAGCCAAACCTTGGGGGCAGCGGCGTGGGCGTGTCCGGGTGAGGGGGCAAAGGCAAGGGGGGGGGGGGGGGGGGTGCAGAGCAGATAGTAATAGATATAATCTTCAAGAAAGTGGGGGGTGGGGGGGGGCAGAGCCGGGGGAGGGGGGCGGGTGCAGAGCCAAAGCTTGGGGAGGGGCAGTGTCGCGCGTGGGGCGGGTGCTCGTGCTGGAGCAGCAATAGAATAGAAATCAAATAGATAGTAGATAGAATCGAGTAGAAAGAGAGGGGGGAGGGGGGCGGGTGCAGAGCCAAACCTTGGGGGGGGTGCAAAGCCAAACCTTGAGAAGAAGAAGAGGTGCCGAAAGGGCAGCGTCGCGGGTGGCAGCGGCGTGGGCGTTCCGGGTGGAGGTGCAGAGCCAGGGGGGGGGCGGGTGCAGAGCCAAAGCTTGGGGAGGGGCGGCGTCACGCGTGGGGCGGGTGGTCGTGCTGGAGCAAAAAGAACAGAAACCAAAAAGAAGCGAAGAAAGAGACGAGGACAGGTGCAGAGCCGGGGGAGGGGGGCGGGTGCAGACGGGTGCAGAGCCAAACCTTGGGGGGGGTGGAAAGAGAGGGAGGCGCAGAGCCAAACCTTGGGGGCAGCGTGTCCGGGGGAGGGGGGCGGGTGCAGAGCCAAACCTTGGGGGGGGGCAAAGCCAAACCTTGAGAAGAAGAAGAGGTGCCGAAAGGGCGGCGTCGCGCGTGGCAGCGGCGTGGGCGTTCCGGGTGGAGGTGCAGAGCTAGGGGGGGGGCGGGTAGCTTCGGCGTCGCGCGTGGGGCGGGTGGTCGTGCTGGAGCAGCAAAAGAACAGAAACCAAAAAGAAGGGAGTAGAAAGAGACGAGGGGGGGTGCAGAGCCGGGGGAGGGGGGCGGGTGCAGAGCCAAACTGGGGGGGGGGGTTAAAAGACAAGGGGGGCGAGTGTAGAGCCAAACCTTGGGGCAGCGGCGTGGGCGTGTCCAGGGGGGGGGGGGGTGCGGTGCGGGTGCAGAGCCAAAGCTTGGGGAGGGGCGGTGTCGCGCGTGGGGCGGGTGGTCGTGCTGGAGCAGCAATAGAATAGAAATCAAATAGACAGTAGATATAGATAGAATCGCGTTGAGAGGGGGTGTAGAGCGGGGGGAGGGGGGCGGGTGCAGAGCCAAACCTTGGGGTGGAAAGAGAGGGAGGGGAGTGCAGAGGTAATGGGGGTGCAAAGGCAGGGGGGGGGGGGGGGGGGGTGCAGAAAAGCTTGGGGAGGGGCGGTGCGTGGGGCGGGTGGTCGTGCTGGAGCAGCAATAGAATAGAAATCAAATAAGCGGATAGTAGATAGAATCGAGTAGAAAGAGAGGGGGGGGGTGCAGAGCCGGGGGAGGGGGGCGGGTGGGGGGGCAAGGGCGGCGTCGCGGGCGTGTCCAGAAGTCCAAAACCGAGGGCAGCCATACAGACACATAGCAATTGTTAGGAACCGGGAAACCTGGGGGTGGGCAAGGAGCCTCGCCTGGCGCGGGGGTGGGCAAGGACCCTCTCCTGGCGGTCGGCGGATAATAGGGACCCAAAACAGAACCATAATTTTGACAACCACCCATATGCAGCATACCACAGGAACTGTGCCGTGATTCCAATTGTGACAAACTGTGAGACCGGCTCTAAGCACAGGACTTTCCCCATCTTGTATCTTGCACCACCCTTTCCATGTTATGATGCAAGAGTGTCGTTTTATAGTCCCGATATGTATGTATGTTTGTCTTCTGCCTGTCTGCCTGTATGTTTAGCTGTACGCATGTCTGTGCATGCGTGTATGTATGTATGCATGTATAAGTATGATACCACAAGGCCCCAGCTCAATTCCTAAGGTTAGTAAGGCCCCTGAACAACAATGTGGCGAATGCGGAGGCCGGTGATGGCCCACTGCTGGGAACGCATCGAGGAAGAGCTCTGGAAGATGCTTGGCATGGGGCATGGAAGTCGCGTTTAGGGTCTGGGGATGCGTACCCGGAGGCCCCGAAGTAGTTCCTTTTTGGGATTACGTTATGGGATTCTATATATGAACCCCAAAAAGGAACTACTTTGGAGTCTCTGGGTAGGGGCAAAGAAGCACCTGAGAATTTTTGTTCAGTGAAGTGCAGTACGTGACGGTTTGTCGAGGTGGGCAGATGTCTTCCCCGCTGAGCACATCGAGCTGGCTGCGGCCCAATTCCGTGATGCCAAACAGCACCAGGAATATGCATTGCATCAGGCGGGCAGGGCAACTTCTACATGTGTGCTTGCTTACTTCAGGGTCTAGTGCACGTTTGAGTGCCCTTGTAGGATCATTCGAAGTGGCAACTGCCACTATTTATTGTGCAACAAGGAGGGATTTGCGCCTCTGCTCCTTCAATTTGAAGGACTGTGAGGCAAGAAACAACCATCCGGGCAGACGATAGATGCATTCTGACCATTGGAGATTTGCGCACTGCCATGTGCAAATGTTTCCACACGTCCATGTTCTGTGTGTGTGTGTTGTGGTCCCGTATAATCGGAAGAACCATGCTTCAACCCTGCGCCTACTCCGGTTCTCCAAGAAGCCTTGCGCAAGAACTTGTATTGAATGCATAGACGCCAACAGCACCATAAACACAATACGTACTTCAACATACTTCATAAACCCGCCTGTACCCTAAACCTTGTTCTTCTAGGTGGCACTTTGGGAAACTTGAAAATTTCGGTTCTATAGAGGTACCTAGACCTAGACCTGAAGCCCCAAAGCTACAACCCAGCTAGACCACTAAAATTCGAAGCCCACATGCCCCGAAACCTAAAGCCCTAAACCGAGCGTGAGCGTCAAAAAACGCCCCTAACACCAAAGGCCCTAAACCCTAAACCTTGTCTATTCCGACTGTAGCAAGAAGGAAAAGGGCCTTCAGCAAAAAAAAAAAAACCTTGTCTATACGACGTTTAAACTGCGAAGCACAGGGGCTGCTTGGGCTCCGGATCTTCTCGGGGTCGCTTGGCGGCTGACCCGTGAGTGTGGCCATCATGATTTTGCTTTCGGGTTCGAGGTTTGAGGGTTAAGGCTTTAGGGCTTGAAGTACCGAATGCATGAGAGAGAGAGAGAGAGAGAGAGAGAGAGAGAGAGAGAGAGAGAGAGAGAGAGAGAGAGAGAGAGAGAGAGGGAGGGAGGGTTTCGGTTTTAGGGTCCGATGTGGGCAGAGGAGGCAGTGCTGGCAGTCATCAAGTCCGGTTTCAAAAAAGGGTCCGAGGCGCATACCGTTCAGTTTCTTACAGCGTGTGCATTTACATTGTCACGAGCGCAACATGGAAAGCCACAAGTGTCCTGGCGTGACCGTGCAAGCCAGTTGCCAAAAGGGGCTGGGGGTCTACGATTTAGGCATGCTCCCTCGGACGACTATAGCAACAAGAACCCCTTTCCTTCCAAGGAATCATAGTTAGGGCCCTAGACTCCCATGGAGGCATAGGGGAACCGCCAAAGGTAATCCTGAACTCTGGCCGCATGGAGTCCCGTCAAGGCGACGTGCCCGATTTCGTAGCCCAAATCTCCTCAATCGCCCGGTGCTTGCCCAGGGCGGTGCGGCCCAATTCGCTACCTGAGGACGTAAAGCAGCGGCTGAAGGCTCAAATAGCTTGCGTTCAGACGAAGATGTTCCATACTTACATATCTTTGCTACAAGATCCTTTGATTCTAGGTGCTTTGAGTTCTGATTGTGACTCGTCCATTGAAGTGTTTAGGGCTCGCGGGTGTCCGGATTAGAGTTGGGCGGTGGGAGCAGATTTTTTCGGTTCAGTACTTCCCGACCTACATACACACATGCACATACATACATATGTACGCACACACACATGTCTGAACGAAACCCTCCATCCATCAGCCTGAAGTAGCTGACCTTCATCCCTTTTTCAATGGACTGAGCCATTAGTCTATAAAGTTCAGATGCCAGAACCGTAAGAGCCCATGCCCGAACAGGTTCGCTGAAAGTGGAGTCAATTAGGAACTCCTCATAACGGTCGGTTTAGGGTTAACTGTCACCATGGTCCACCCACGAGGGGGCCAGCTTGAAACCCGAAACGCATACTAGACGTCACGAACAGATGAACAGAGGGGATCGCTGCCGCTTGCTTCTTTGAGGGTCTATGCTTTGTAATGCAAAGCTGCTGAGACCGCAACATAAATCAGTGCACAGCAAATCCGAAAAGATAGACATGATAGGTTCGGACCTGGAGTCGCATATATACATACATACAGAGGTTTAGGGTTTAATTTACGGTTCAGGGTATGTGAAACATAGCGATGTTTCATGTTCAGGCGACGAATCTCGTCTGTCGTGATCAGTTGGTCCCAATGATCCTGGGAGTGGCTGGACCTCACTCTGCTTATGACCAAGACCAGATAAACAATGTTGTGGCCTGGGTTAGCAACGGATTCTTGGTTGCAACCCAGAACGCCACAAAGTCAGCATGCGTTCGATCTTTGTCGGGGGGAGGGGCCCTAAGAACATCGTAGCAACACATTAGACACACATGACGACAAGAAGCTAGATTTCCCTATCCCTCCAAGGACCTCATAGTTAGGACCCTAGACAAATTAAGGACCCCATAATAAGGTCCCTGGAGGCATAGGATTTCGTTGTTTGATTGCATCAGCAGCTGCATGTCAGAGCTGCTTGCGGTATTGCAGGGTTATCTCTTCACTTGGTTTCGCTAGTGAGTCTAATTATTGTATTTTTCACTCAGGTTTAGATGCGGCTATCCGTTATGCCCTATGGCTCTAAGCCCCAAATCCTAATCCCTAAACCTATATGGTATTGCCACAAGGCACTCCGTAAAGCAGAGTGTGAGAGACAGTGCCTGCTTCGCTTGCAATCGGGCATGCAGTTGCGAAAGCCCTGTGGCTCACTTTTCCGGTCATGGCCTTAAGACAAAACCTCGCACGCCTAGCCAGTAAGACCATCACAATCCCAAGGCTCAAACCTTCAAGTTTCCAAAGTAGTAGTCACAGAGATGCACTCAAGCACCCTCGGTGGCAGAAGTACGTGTATGTACTGATGTATTCAAAACTTGCTATAGGCTTGTAGACGCCGTTGGGCATGCACACATGTGTCATTTCCTTTCAGGCAGGTTTCCCGATCTGCCTTCAGTGAGACACAAGATCGAGAAACCCTGTGATAAACTCGACTGCCAGCTAAGCACTAGTATAGGGGCGTAAATAGCAATTGCCACTACTATGTTGGGGGGTTCCTTTATATGATTATAGCATAATGGGCTATTCTAATTATTAAGGCTCCTATGTTCTGTATACAGAAGTCACTGGCCCGGCGACACCTATCCGAGAAGAGGAGGGCACGAGTCGGAGTGGTTGAGTGTTGCGTCGCCCATGCACGTATTCTGGAGTCCTTGGCAAGCCTTGAACCCTAAGCTATGGAAATGCCAGGGCAGCACCGAGTCGTGCGAGAGTTGAAAACAAAAACTAGGACCCAGAGTAGGCCCTTATTCCCTTTTTTTAGGGTTCAGGTTCCCTTATAAACCCCTTTAAACCAAAAAGGGCACCCTTTTTATTCCTAGGTTACTCTTAGGTCTAGAAAATACACTGATGAGGTGATGACGAACTTGGCAGTCGCCTTCAGTTCTCTGTGCTCCGTACCCTGGCAGCTGATTTTGTCGCAGAGTGCCTCATAGCTGGCATGGGTCCCATTTGTGCAAAAGCTGAGACTCTGGACACTTTTGTGCCTTCCGAAAGCATGTCATGCATACAGAGTCGGAAGAATGGAAGCTTAAAGGGTTAATTCCTTTTGGGAGAGTTGCAAGCCTGAGTACCCAGAGGCCCCAAAGTAGTTCCTTTTTTAGGGCTCATATATAGAATCCTATAAGGTAATCCCCAAAAGGAACTACTATGGGGCCTCTGAGTAGGCACTGCTCAAGAGGCGTCAACAGGTGTTTGCGGCCTTTTTGGCGTTGCACCGCGACTAGCCCCAAAGTAGGACTTCTTGGCTCGAAGTCCAAGTCGGGCTCATCTTGTTTGTGGTTTCCACTCAGGCTTCCTGCAGCAGCTGCGGGACGACCCACCACCATGGACACAGCGACAAGGGCGGCAGGCTTCGCCAAGGGACTGTACCGGGAAGATGTTGGAACCGCCGACGGTGAGGCGGCTCGTCGACGACGACGGGCAAATCGCGCGAACCCACAAGGAGCTTCAGGCGCAGCTTCATAAGGGTCAACAAGAGTTTCTTGAACGGCTAGGGAAAGTTGCCGTGTAAGAGCTTCAACAAGGGGCCACTATCAGGCTTGCTTGCTAGACGGGCTTGTTAGGTTGCTGTTCTGTTGAGTGCTCCTTCGTGTCAAGCAAGTGCTGTACGGATCCGGCTTCCAGGAGGACCAAGGAGAGCAATTGCAACCCTTTCTTGGATTCTTACAAATTTGTCAGTTGCCTCTCTGTGTACCAGGTCCATGGAGAGCAACATTGAGCTTCAAAGCTCAACCGCCTTAACCGACATCCAGGATAGCACACAATCCTTGGCATGCTGAACCTTTGAACTCCGCAGCTCTGTGTACAGAATTGCCATCCTCAGTCCTACTGTTGATGATATAAATCCTGCATGACCCATAATAAGGAATATGCCATAATTCCCATAGTTTAGAGTCCTTAGGTTCATGCAGGATTTTGTCCATCAGCCGTAGGACCCTCAGAGCATTTCCCGCACCAGCTCTTTGCAGGTATCGTCCCTGTCGAAAGGCGGAACTAACCGCCCTGAGCTCTCAAAGAACCCTATGTACAGCCTTCGTTGACCCTATAGAACCTACCTTTTCAGGGTTCCATATTCTGAGTTCAGTATACAAGTCCGTGAAAAGTTAGGTCATTCAGGGCCCAGGCTTAACCCAGAAGCACGAATGAGTTCCCAAACTATTCTTTCGGGTTCTGGATTGTTGCTATAGTACAATCTCATCCAAGGCCCGAGTCCAATTATTAAGGCCCCTATAGTTGACCCAAAGCTTGAACCCGAAGCCTCGACCCTGAACCCTAAACCCTGTTTGGATTGTCCGAGCGTGAGCGCCAAATCCCGTAAACCCGAACCCCCCCCTAAACCCCTAAACCCGCCTGCATATTGCTTGTGATTGTACATGTGGCATCTGCTCTACGGCTGATGCTAGTAGAGATACAGTGGACCATGTAGAGCCTTGCCCGCCTTGTGCGAGTGTGAGTGTCGAGACCCGCCACCCTACGCGCCTCTTAAACCCTAAACCTAAACCCTTAACCCTAAACCAGGCTCCGAGGACTTGGCAGAAGATCCAGGAGGTCCTTCTCAGCACTTTCCGGCATTAGGACTGTGATGTATACGGGCCTAAGAGTAGGATTCCTTTAAGGCTTCTTTGTAGGCTTCCTAGAATGGATCTATAACAGGGGTCTACAGTATAGGGGCCTGAATAGTTAGAACAGGCCTTCGGGGGCTCCATATTACACGAAAAATTCGTATAATATACCCCCAAGCCCAAGCCCTAGTCGGGGTTTAAATTCACAGGTTTCGGGATTGAGGATGGGGTATCGGTTTATCGGTCTAAGGGTTCGGAGCAGGTAATTTGATCTAGGTAATGCAGGAACCTGGTTAAGAAACCCTGGGCCTGTAACCCCAGAATAGTAGGATTCACATAAGGACCCTAATACAAGCCCAAGATTTCTTAATCAGGTTCCTACATAGTGGCAAAAAGGGGGGGCATCCAGTCTCTCCAGCTGTTCTTGTCGTACAAGATGCGGGTAGATCTGTTGGACTGTACTTTGGCCTTCGGTTGCTGAGAGCGTCCATGGGACGTATAGCGGACGTATACAGCATAGAGTATAGATATAATGAAGGTTCGCGCGGACGGAGTTTGTGATCCGAGAGCAAAGCAACATGATGCAATGGTCATATTTCGCTCGAGTCTTGGGCATTTTGGATTCGGAGTTGGACAGGGGATTAGAACCTGAACTTGTGGCTGTAGGGCTTATGAGCTCTTGCTGGTCACTAGTAGTCATTTGCAAACTTTGAGCTGCAAAGACATCCAGAATCTGAGTCATGACCCTCAACCCTCAGCCCGAGCAACCCTGGATTGACAAAAGTCTGCAGGAAAGGGGGGGGGGTTGTCTCCCTTTTGCAGGTGAAGCCCCAGAAGACGATCAGCAAGAACCGCAGGATGTTCAGGAGGAGCCACGGGAAAGCGACGACGATATCGGCGATTTGCCGTCTGTGCCTCCGGTGTCTCGCACATTTATCAACTACCGCCAAGGCCGGCAGCATCACCCTCCTAAAGAAACCCCCAAGCACTATAAACATTTATGAAAACAAAGACCCTAGCTAGAAAGCATTCATCCTGACAGAGGGATTCTCGCAGAGACCTTCCAGAGGTATCAAGCTCCAAACTCCCTTCAGGTCAGCAGGACCCTCGCAGATGTTGTTCGGAGCCAGCGAATCTTTGTCATAGTTGGGTACCTTTTTGCATTTTTATGGGCACTTAAACCCAACAAGGAGTAAAGATTTAAATTTTCAATCCTATCCCAACCATGAACTAGGAATCGAGCGGTTCGCAGGGAGCCGGCAGAAGGCTCCGAGGTGGAGGAGGGGCGCACAGTGACGCACAGGGAGGAAGACTGGGACGACGACCGAAGGGACACCGAGCGAGAGGCTCGGCAAGCTCCTTGGGCATGTTTCAGCACTCGTTCTCGAGCACCGCTATGGGAGTTTCCGAGAATTGCGGGTACCTTGTTTTGGGATCTTGTCTAATAAGGATCCTGCTATTTAGGGTAGTATATTCGGGTCCCCTATACTTTCGGAAGCTCCCGACGAAAAAGTGCGCCTTCAGCAGAAAGTAAGCCACGGCATGCGAACCAGCCAGTAGATTCGGACGAGTTCCCCGCGGTGCGACATTGTTCAGCTGGGCGGATGGCAACAAAACTTCGAAACCCAAACTACCGCTGAGGAGTCTGTCAGAAAAATGGTCCACTTCGTGCTCGGTCAACTGAAGGATGCGGAGATTTCCATGAAGGCTATGTGGATGAAGCAGGTCACCCGGAGCAGAAATGCGCATCCAAAAGCCTCAACCCCTGAATCCGAAAGACGGAAATGCCGTACCATCTAAACCTTCAGAAAACCATGACCCAGAATATGTGATGATGGAAACCTGAGCTGCGATGAAGAGCGTGTTGCAATTGAAGCAGGTTCGTAGCCGAAGCCCCTGTCGAAGGTGGCCCAGCAGCTTTCAGACGCAAACGAGACGGATTGCGACCTTCACCTCAAGAGGCAGGTAATCGAAGCTTTTGTTCGTCACTAGTTGACAGTTTGGGAAACGTTTTTAATTTCCCTGTTATGGTTTCTATGGAGGTGCCTATTCATAAATACTTTTAAGGGCCCCTAAACTACAACCCAGGTCACGTTCCCGAGCTGCATCCGAAGGCAGTGCCCGAGACTTGTCCTGAGCCAATGCGCAGGCTGAAGAGTTCGATCCTGAGCTCGATCCGCTTCCCGAAGAAATGCACCTTAAAGCCTGAAGCCTGAACCCAAGGTTTAAGGTTTATAGGGTTTAGAGTGCAGGTTTTCAGGAGCAGGAGAAAACCCCTAAACAGAAAGAACCCCCAAAGTGATACAGGCTCATGGACATACCTAAATCGGTTGAGCGTGTCAAGGGGCAGGGGTTCAGCACGGCTGACTTGCACAGATTCCAACATGCGACGGCAAATGTTTCGAGGCGCTCACGAGTGGTACGCGAGATGCTAGAAGCAGAGGTGTTGACATGAAGCCCAAGCGCCTAGGAAATTCTGGACAAGCTCTGCTCCTTGAGTGGCTCTACCTTTTTGGAGGACATCTCCCTCCAGCGCCGCTGGTCTCTGCCTAGAGTGGTGCTACTTCTTTACAACATCGATGCTGCAGGGAAGATTGCTAAGTACCATAATATCAGACAAATCGGAGAAGGCCGACACAAGCTAGGAGAGGTAACACGTCATCCAGCCTTCAAAACCCTTTCACCCCGAGCCCCAAAGCCCTGCGGAATTACAGAACACCTATTTAGAACCCATCTAAACCCCATAATCCTGGCAGACCCGTGTAAGTCACCACAACCCGCATTCTTGTTGGTGGCTGGAAAGTCAATTTGTGCTTGCAGTTTCGATGCTTCACAACACAAGCCCTTCAGACCCATATCTCAAGCTCCGGCCCATACAGTGTTCATGAGCGAAGAGCGAGGAACCACCTGACAGGATGCTGTCAACGCACAGTCCCGTTTTTCGCAAACCTATCAACCCTGCGATGCGGGCTCGTCGATGGGACGTAGGAGGCCAAATCATACCCTCTAAAACACCCTAAACCCTAAACTTTGTCAAACCAAGAGACCTCGTCTGGCTTGTCCGAGTCGAGAGAGCGTAAACCTGAATCCTAAACCCTACCCAGAGGCCCCAAAGTAGTTCCCTTTTGGGGTTCATATATAGAATCCTATAAGGTAATTCCCAAAAAGGAACTACTATGGGGCCTCTGGGAAAACAAGAACCCCATAGAAATCCCACCTAGACAAGGCTGGAGCTGGGAGCTACGTGTTGCCTGCGCCGAAACCTGGGCGCGCTACTGCGAGGGCTCAGCGAAGCAACCGGGTCCTCCTTTAAAGGGCTCCCTTAGGGGTTCTACAATAGGGTCCCGCTTAAGAGTACTATAGGGTCTATAATGGGATCCTTTGTAAGGGATCCCGTAAAGGGGTTCCCTTCCCTTCAGGGTTGCTTGATTGTTCCTTTGTTCACGTTTTTGTAGGGTCTCTCATAGACAGGGTTCCGCTTACGATTTGTTTCAGGTTTCTTAAAGTACGTAGAAAGTCTCTTATCGGAGTTCCTTCAAGGTTGCTTTGGGTGGATCGGGTTTTATAGTGTTTTGCATGGATTCCTAGATGTTCCTAGGGACTCAGGAAGTAAAGTCGCCGTTGGTTTGGCAAAGCATTTGGGCGTACGGCTTGGGTTTGGGGTAGGGCCTGGTATAGAGGCTTCGTAGATGAGCAAACCACCTTCAGGGTTTCGGGTTTACGGGTGAAGTTGGGAGTACTCGGCTCAGGAATTTACGACCAGGCCATGAATATCGATTGCTATGGTTCACGGTTTCGGTGCTGGTTTGCTTGTGATTTTAGCTTGGGTTTTGTTGGTGGATTCTCTTCTCTTCCCGGCTTCCGAGCTGCTGGAAGACGTGTCTTGTAGGTGGGAGCTACCTCAGCGGTCTTTAGCCTGCTACAATGCTAGCAGACCGCTGATATTGGGGGAGCTGAGGAGCCAGGGATGATACGGTGGATGATATAAATCCTGCATTACCTTAAGGACCCTAAACTATGGGAATTATGGTATATTCCTTATTATGGGTAATGCAGGATTTATATCGTCAACAGTAATAATCCCTTTTCCTTCAGGGCTCAAGAGCCAAGGGAACCCCAGACGAAACACACCAGCCTTGGAGAGTGTTGACGAGTTGCGTCGTGCTGCTAAAGCTAAGGATTTAGAGCAACAGCTACGATTTTCGGTTCCGCAGAAGGGTAGCGGGAGGATAGGCCTTAGCTTGGCCACCGTGGTTCTGACATTGGTCTTGGGATACTTCGCCTATCTTGGGTTCAGATGGTGTTTGGCAGCATTGCAGCATGGAGTGCAGGGATCTGGTCCGTTGTGGTTTGAACCGGAAGCTTATGAGGAAACACGAGGCCTAGACATTCGTGAAGCGCTGCAGTGCGGCACAGCTCAGCTAAACGGTATAATAAAGAACCGTGATAGAGACAGTCAGGTTTGCGCTGGTTGTGGTCAATCGTAGCGATCCCTTGTTTCCGGAAGCTTGCATAGGACAATGCAGCATGTTAGGAAAAGTAGCTGCGCGAAACCGTGAATCCACTGATGAAAGAGGAGCCATGACAACACAGACAAGAAGTAATTACCAACAACCCAAACCTCTTTCAACGAGCTTTCACCGCCACGGCTGCCCGCTGAGCCCGCATCAACCGAAAACTTTAAGCTGACAACAGTCGCCGGGTGTAGCAGCGCGGCGCGAATAGACCTTTAGTAACAGCAGTTGTTGAAGCACACTCCTTTGCTGCGTTCGGGGGCTGGGTCCTACTCAAGGTACATGGACACTGATGCCATCAGGCGCGGCGATGGGGCTGTTTAGCTTACGAGTATTATCTAAACCACCGGAATTTCACTTTCCGTTATATACTGGTAGGAGGATGCGAGAACGCAGAAAAGCAGCAAGAGAGATGCTGAATGTTCCTGACCATATCATCCCCCGAGTTCCTGGAGCATCATGCCACTCATCCCTTACTTCACAGGCTGCTCTTCATCCTTCAAGTGTTTCCGGCTCAGGATGTGGACAGAGGTCTTCCCCCAAAGCTCTGCAGGTTTGCATGGCTTGTGCCCCACGCTTTCGAAGTACATCCCAGCTGCTGGAGCCTGTCATGGGCGGCGAAGGTAGTGGAAGAAGAGACATCCGAATATGTAGAGGTGCCCTCTCGTCATCCTTGTGACCTTACACAATAGTGAACCCTGCAACCCTCGAGCCCTATGCTTCCTTTGAATCCCCGCATATTGGGCACAGCACTGGAGTCGAAGGGTCCCGAAGTTGGGGACGAGATCGGGTCGGGAAGGTGGGTGAGAAGGCCGGTTGCCATATCAGCATTGCCACCTCTTCATAGAAGAAGTACCACCGAAACCTGATCCTGAAATAGTCGCCTCAGCCATATACGCATCTGTGTTTTGTCAACGCTACATGCCGAAGATGCCACAACACCGGAGGTCTACGATGCGGCTGCTGACGGAGGATTCGACAGAGGATTCAAAGTTCGAGGCTGCAAAAGCCCTGAAGGTCTCTAATATAGGGGCCTTAACAGCTACCTATACTATTTTGGGGGGTTCCATATTATGATTATAGCATAATGGGCCCCTAAACCCTATTCTAATTGTTAAGGCCGCTATATAAAACCCTCAAGCCCGAAGTTCAGGCGCTTTGCCGGGCTCTAGGGTTTGAGTCAGAGCTGTGGTGTTTTAGGGCACGCGCAATCCAAGCACATGTTCAAAAGGGCTCGAGTTTCAGGGCTTGGGTATGGCCGTGGTCTAGCTAGACTTGAGTCCAGTAGAAAACAGGGCTTGGGTCAGAGTTCTAGGTCTTCGGTCAAAGTGTCATGGGGGCCTCGACCACAGGGTACACAAGACTTGGCTTGTAGTATAACACCCTCGAAACCAAAACACCGACTCAAGTTTTCTAGGACCCAAGATAGCCGGTGTTGTTACACCAGGGGAAGAAATGCAGGCTGACCGTTTCAACTCACAGCTGCCTTGCTCAGCGCAGAGACCCAAATTCATTCTAAGGCCAGGATGCGAAAAACCCAAAACCTCTAGATCTTAAAACCACCAAAGCCGAAACCCTCAACACCCAAATTCCCGAAGTCTTAAAACCCCTCCCTGCAGTTTTGGGTAGGTCTTTCGGGGTATTTTCTATTTTCCCTTATTGGGCTTAAGAGGATCTTGTTCACGGGCATGTTTGAGAGTCTTTAAGGGGCCAACCTACGGCTTAAACACCTTCACAAAGCCGAAAAAACTTTCTAAACCCCCTAAACTCTTTAAACCCTAAACCCGCTAAAACCCTAGTCTGGCGAGTTCGAGTTGCGAGAGCGTAAACCCCCTAAAAGGTGCGAACTGTATGCCTCGCCTCGATTGTGAGCACCGACATCCCCGAAAAAGGTGATGTTCGAGCCTGTGATTTCTGCCATGCGCTCACTGATATGTGTCTCGGCTGCGCAGCGGAGGTATTATGGCGCCTTAAATAATTCCCTATACTAGCTTGGGGGGTTGGTTAGGAAAATTAGCTGGTTATAGTATGATATACCTCAAGCCTATTCTAATTATTAGATTATTGGGGCTTCCGGGTTCAGGGTATTGGGGTTTACGGTTTAGCGTTTTGGACTCTATCTCTAGATTCCTTGTGAGGGATGAGGGCTAACCCCCAAAAAGTCGAGGGCCTCTGCACGAAAACGTGCGTCAGGATCGTGCTGGCTAGCGCCCTCGACGAACCTGCCCTCGTTGTGAAGAATCACACGTGGCAACTTGTCTCAGGCGGTCATCGCCACTCCTTCCTCGATGACTTTGTGCAGGAGACTGGCCAGTGGCTGTTGCTTCAGATGTGGAATCTCCTGTGGCTGGGATGAATTTCGTCAGGTCTGAGCGGTAGTGTGAAATCCTAACGGAAGCATTGTGCTGGTATTCGGGTGTTCACTAATCACGGGAACCGGGAACGGCAGCTGCAGACCTTTTGAGGTGAAGGCAGCATGTAGATGCAATCGTGGGTGACATGGCGAGGGTACTGCGCCCCTGGTTCCGACATGCTGGCAAAGCCTAGGTCCTACAGATAGCATGGCATTAAAGCCTCAATGTCAATATTGGCACGGTACTACAGTGACATCCATGTATAAGAA